ATTACAGTGAAAGGTGGTAAAAGATGCATTCTATACAAAATATGTCGGTAAAGTATATAATACTCTATCAATAGTCAAGAACATGGTACTTGCGTTTAAGAACAACCGGATATTTGTTTGAGTGAGCTCTCTTCATAGTACTACTATGTACTTCTCTTTTTTCGTTTACAGAACATTAATCAAAGATAAACTTTAAATTCAGGGTTAAATGGATCCAATCGAAAATCTCTAGACTGTTTGATAGTGAAAGTAAATATCAAATAATTACAAGGGTCCTTTGCCTGTTACATAATACTTCGTGTTGGGAGGTTTTACTTGTTCGTAACAATGAGATTAAAACGAACCTTATATGATGGAAAGCCTTACTTCGTTCAAGGCCAATAACGATTGATTTGATAAATGTCCTTGTCTGGTAATTGATATGTTTTACAATCAAACAATAATTATTCAATAGAGATGATCGATAAAAAGGGATTTTGGTGAAGCACGGTTATCATTCCCACATGTGATATGTCCATATTCCTAAAGTAGCTTGTAAAAACCTTCATCAGCATTAAATTACACATATATAAACATACATGTATATACACATATATTAAAATTAAATCCAAGATGAACAAACAAGTTCACATTTAATTATTACACTTAGCGCTTTCGCCGTGAGATACACATATATAATTATATTTATGTATACACATATATACAGCCTATACAGTCGTTTATTTTCTTCATTATTAAAATGAATTCAGAACTTTTTTCCAAGTAAAGAAAATATTTTTTTTAATTCTAAACAAGACTTCCATTCCTTAAGAGAACAAAATAAAATCAAACGAAAGCAATACATCCACAGATAATTATTATGTTGAGGTTTGCACCCCCCTTTCCCTTTCCCTTTCTATCAGTATTTCATAAAAGATTCTTACTGGTGGTTACTCAGTGTGGATATAACTGATAACGCTTCGATAACAGTTAACAAGTGCGTGTGCACGTCTTTTATATTTAAATATTAGAATAATCTACTGGACATGGATATTTAAAATGTGAATACACTATGGCGATATAGAAAGGTCCAAAACAATTTATTATAAGTTAATTTTGTGATACTTTCGCATTGAAACATGTTTAATGACATTGAGAATAACAGATATTTATTCGCCTGAAAATTAAGTCCAAAAGAAAGTACAAAGCTATTTTTACGACTGAAATGAAATGACTATAATGAAAGAGCAAATATATGTGGACTCTGTTCAAAGCATTGAAAATACCATTCACAATATCGGTATATATCGAAGCACGTCAATATCTTTCATAAAGTTACTGGTCTTTTATGCTTTAAATCTTTCAAAACGAAAACTTAAATCGACGTTTTTAAATGGTAAATATTTGCTTATAGTTAAACCACGTATATGAAGGCGACTTTTTGCAATGTTCATCTTTTACAAATTCTTGGGTCAATATTTATTGAAATGATCAAGGTCATTTTTTTTTCCATCAATACAATACTTATGTTTGGTTTGGAGGAGTTGTTTTACAATTTCTATTCATCTGAATCTTTAATTTTCGTAGGCTTAAATATTTATCAGCCACAAAAAAGGTTTGAATTTTGAAAATAAAATATTATCCCTTTCGATCGATTTTAAAATTTTAACTTTACTTTCAAGATTCATTCTGTCCAGTTCTTTTGTATAATGTAATGAGGTACATAGGTACATTGTAATTGATTATCATTAAAAAATAATCAGAAAGTTCATGCAGTTTTTATTTGGAAGTACTTTGTAGAGATAAGACATGTTCGCACTTTCTGAGGTTACACTGATTATGTAATATTCATATACGGTGTGATAAACCTAAATAAATGAAATTGTGCACATGAAGCATGAATTTTTCCAATAAAAGTGCATCCCCGTCTCTCTCTCTCTCTCTCTCTCTCTCTCTCTCTCTCGTACAAAAGCATAAATGCCAGTGTAATATATACCATGTCCTAAAAATCAAGTTCTTATATCAAAACTCACAATTGTTGCGGAAGAAATGAACCTCAGTCGGTGGTCTATATGCATGGAAGCATAAATATTTTTTAATAAGTTTTTGTTTTTATAATTTCATCAAATAATTTCCAGAAACGATACGGGAACGTTTAAATATCCAACTTCCTATAGAATCATCTCAAATTCAATGCCTTCCTCAGTAGTTGGACTTATGTGTTTGAAGAATCGACACATCTCTTAGCTACAATTTTATGAAGTTAAAGAAAAATCAATGAATAGACTCGCGGTATTTCTTTTTGTATATGTTTAAAAGGGGTTTTACCAATATTTGCTGAATAACAGTGATACACATAGAATTTTTATTATCAATAATCTTGAATTCTTCCTCGGCTGTGAGGGGCCGTGCCAGATCAATGGCTGACCATTTGACAACAAAAGGTTATGATATCAAGGAGATATTGATTCATCTTTATATATTCATTGCTCTTGTTAATAAGTACACATGACCCTTTTTGATATCATTTAATGATTGTATTGTTAAGTTAAAGGTACACTGTTAATTAAGATGCTATTGGTTTGTATTAAAAGACATAAATTTTGAAGTAGAATTCAAAATTGCGAAAAAGGTTGACATATGTACATGTATGATTTGTTAATCTCTACGCTTTTTATCACATTGCTTTTTTTTCAGGGGTTGGGCTGACAGATCGACGATTCTCTGCACACATACATTTACATTTAAATATTTTACAGTTTTGAAGATGGGGCTGGCATGAGTTAAGCAAAGCTATACATAGCAAGAATTACATTAACAATTTAATTTGTTATGTTAATCATTTATTTTCTGATTGACAGGTCCTGGACCCGCCCAGTACCAGCTTCCCACAACCGTAGGACAGAATGCAAATGACAAGACAAAAAGGTCCACACCCTCTTTCTCATTTGGGTCTAGGCACTGGGGTAAGCTAGAAATGGAATCAAAACACAAAAAATTGAATAAAGTTTTAAATACAAGGAAGATATTAAGATTCACATGCATATGGGATTTATACTTTTACTAAATTGCCCTTATCACCAAAAATTGCATGCTTAATAAAAAGATCAAACAATCATCATCACCTCTTTTTTGCATGTTTATGTTTTATCCACTTTGTGCATGCTTTTCATATATTGCTTACACATTAAATTTGAACAATTAGATTAGAAAAAAGCATCAAAATATGGTCGCATTGTACTATATTTAGATAAACCCTATTTATAGTAATCATTTAATAGAAATTCTACAAACATGGCATATTTCAAATTAGCTTATTGCTTGATTTTAGAGAAATAATCAATTATAAGTTACTGAATACTGGTAAAAGTGTCTCTGTTTCAACAACATGATGAATGAAACATAAAAGAAAGTAATCATGATTAAATGGATATACTTTGTATGCTTTTAATCAAATTTATTTAAATTTCCCGCGCATATAGCCAAGAAAGGTATGACGTAGTAAGCTAGATGACGTGGTGATGGTGTTCGATTTGTATTCTTAGTATACTAGATCTTTGGTTTGTATGTTGTATACATTTGTATCAACTCTGTATGGTAAAATAAGTATATGTATCTATGTACACAAGTTTCATTTTCTATTTGCCACCATAAGATATGTCTCTCTTCTTTTCTGAAATTAATCTATACATATATTTTTTTTTTACAAAATAATACCGTATCGGGCTACTATGTTTTCTTAATCAAATTGATAAATAACATATATCAAGTTGTTTCTTTTACTATATATCTACCTGGGATTTCTTTTTTAAATTTTATTTTTGTATACATAGACCATGCGATTGCTTGAAATTTTACAAACTTTTAATTGCCACTTGGTTTATGTGGTCGATTCCGTCTAAAAGTCTCTATATATCATAAAATTTTAGTATATAAAGAAATGGAGGAAGGAATCATGTTATATGGGGGTCAAGTTATCCAATTTATTCTATAAGAGAATAATCATGAATAACTGTTACTCTAAACTTTTGTATAATTCGACAAATTGAAAACTACTAAGTATAGCAACCTAGATTAATATAAATAGGTTTGAATTCGTTGTATTACAAAATTAATATGTATGAATGTACATGTAACTACTGATTCATGTTGGGTTTTTCCCAAATAAAAATAGCATTATTAGTTTTAAAAATATTGATTGGAATTGAACATATTTTATTGTAATGCATTTTCAATGGGATTGGGCACAAGTTCTTAAAACTTATTTCGCCCTCTCCCTACATGAGAAGTCTATAAAGTTTGAGTTACAAAATATTGATCTCAATTGTTTGTCGTTCAGCACAGAATTCATAAGATGATGTATTAACATTTTTCTTGCTCAATCAAGAATTTATCATTCAATTATTTGTACAAATCCTCGCACTGCCAAGGATTCACTAAAGTGCATTGTTAAATTAAACCAAATAATTTATCCTTAATAACAATCCGTATTTAAAGCATGCAAGCATTAACTGGTGTGCAAATAAACGGCCTTCTTTCTTTATAATAAGATACATAAATCGGTTTATCTTAAGAATGCATTTGTTACGGAATAGAATTGCATAGAAGAGGATTGCAATGAAAATGGTAGACAATTTAGAAGAGTCTGTGCCAATTTAAAGCTAGATTTTGTGTTCTTTTGATTATTTTAGTTTCTCACTTTGTTTACCGTTAGCAAATAAAGAGACGCTGACAAAATTTTCTTTTAGTAAGTGGGGGTATTTCATTGACGAAGACGTTGATTGAGTGCACATTTCAAATTTAAATAATGAATGACAATGCGTGATGCGACACTTTTTCTTAGGAAAGGGTTCTTAACTTTCTTAAAATGTCTGTTTTTATCAGTCTCTCTCTCTCTCTCTCTCTCTCTCTCTCTCTCTCTCTCTCTCATTGTTAACTCTTACATATTCACGTATTGAAAAGGCAACTTGGAGTTGTCTCCTTTGTATTACAGGTAACGCAAGTTCATATTGTCCCTGAGAATGTGCAGTATACATTGTAGTTTATTAAATTTTACATGTACATGTATGATGAAGGAAAATTGTTTTGTATATACTGTTTCACATTTATTATTGTATTTTTCTGTACGTCCCTATTGCATCAATTTATTACTTTACTTTAACATTTAGGGGGTATATTTTTATACAATATTTAATTATTTTTAGAATTCAAAAAAGAGGGCCCTGGGCCAGCTTATAACATCGACAGTTCATTGACGTCTAGGGGGAGGGACATCAGACCCTCCTTCTCCATGCTGGGGCGTGCCAAAACACCAAGTAATTTTATCATTTTTATTAAAAGGATTTCAACATTTATTATCCATATTAATTTTTAAGGATTTTTTTGTGTCTTGAAGAAAAATTAATGATTATTGAAATTAATTAATGAAAAGAGAATTATGATTCAAGTTGGTAAAGATATTGTTCACAAGTAGCTTATTTTCAAAAGCTTTATGCATACATGTATGTGTTCATTTAGAAAATTAGAGACCAGAATATTTTTACTTTGTTTCTTCAGAGAGAGATGTAAGTCCGGGACCCGGGGCATACAATACAGACAGAGCACCCCTCAAGGAGAAAAATGCCCCTCACTACTCCATGAGTCCACGAACGTCTCCCCGTCGCGTCGACGTCACCCCATCACCAAACATGTACGCCCTACCCTCAACGATAGGACCCAGGGTCCCAGACAGAAAAGGAGGAACACAAGCTGCCCTGCTCGGTAGAACAAACTATTTGGATTTTTCAGCCGATCTCGCGAAAACACCTGGACCTGCCAAATATGGCGCCCTTCCTCCCTCGCAGACAAAAAGAAGAGCACCGTCGTACAGCCTGGGTGCGCGGGCTAAAACACCAAGGGACATTAACAACGTTCCAGGGCCCGGGAAATATAGCCCAGAACATGTAACAGCCCATTTAGACACCAGTCCAAGATATCATATAGGTGTTCGCCATTCTCAGTACATCATGCCTGCTGTACCGTTAGCAAATGTTGATTGATGCTATCGAATTTAGGACATAAATATTGATTATATTACACTGAAATTTCAAAACATTTATACAATTTGCAAATTATTTAGCATTATTTGATACAACTTTGTTTCAGCCACTATTGAAATAACGACCGCTATTGATTTGCATTCTCAACCACTATTGAAATAATTATTTCAATAGTGGGCGCAGCATATATTTCGTTAGGGGTTGCAACACAGCCTACCAAGTTCACTTTATTTATGTTTGCGTGTTTTATGCTTTACGTACTGAAACACTTTGTATGCTTAAATCTCCTATGGTTTTGAGTCCATAACAGCTTCAGTTCCTCCTACAGCTTACATGCAAACGATTGGTACAAGTACATTTTATAGTGGTTTAGAAGAGTAAGGAAACATTTCTCTTTTTAACAAATGTATAAAACAATACTTACATCTATGGACAGTGGCTCACCTCAACAAACTATCCCCCCCCCCGAAAAAAAATCCCGGCAATACACAAGAAAACAGATTATTTTTATATGCATGAAATTTGTCAGGATTTTAAGGATAATTTGATAATTTTGACCTAAGAAAAATACCCCGGTAGTCTGTGAGTGGAAAAAAGCCTGATATGTCATGCTTAATTTTTTAAAGATATGAAAATGTAAACTTTGGTCTCTCTCTCTCTCTCTCTCTCTCTCTCTCTCTCCGATCTTACTTTTATAAATTCTAGCTGATTCTGTGATATTGTTCAACTGGAGCATTGTTGTTGAGGAGTTAACAGGAAAATTATACATATATGTGGTATTAAAAATGTAATAAAAATATTTTCAGCCTTTTAAACGTTTTTGTTCTAAGTGCCTGATGATAATTAGAGATGTTCTTTTTAAAAAAAAAATGCCTTAAGTAATGGGTGGTATTGTTCACTTCACCAACATTTCACAAGACTCGTACAAGTTACATGTACATGTACTTTAAATAATCTTTCACCATTAAGTTCACCGTGGGTACTTCTAAAGAAAAAACTATTCAGAAAAAACTAATAATAATGAATTGGATCATTATTTGGCTCCAATTCTGGACTTAGGGGAAAAATTTACTTTATTTGAATCAATATGATATGTCCGATTTACATTCATGATGTTCTCAAAGAGAAAACACAATATGTAGTATGAGGAAATATTTGAAATGTTTTAACTAAAGTATGGGGAAATATTTGAAATGTTTTAACTCCTTCTATATGTGCCTGGAAAAGATGATGTTCTTTAATTATATAAACATGAAAGTGCAAGTTCGAATGCCCCTTTGAGCATAAATGGCTAAAATTGGTTCGGTGTTTTTAGAAGAGATCAGAAATAAAACAAAATAGACTATACAAATACAATTTTTTTATTGGCACTAACAGAATTACAACAAGGGTACCGCAAAGCGGAGCATTCCCTCGCAAAAGAGCATATCAATCCTGATATGTTGTGAATTAGTACTTGCTTAACTCTTGTTACGCACCCACTCACCCCCCCCCCCCCCCCTGGCCCCAACACACACACACACACACACACACACACACGACAACCCGTAATTGGCGACTTTACTGTACGTAGGCAAGCTACATGTAGCTAAATATATAGTGACTGTACATTAACATTGTTAAGAAATAAATGTTTTCATGCTTAAAATATACTGACAAAAATCGTGGATACGTAAACCTGTAATTGACGACTTCACTGTACATAGGTAATTCAAGCTACGTAGCTAAATATGATGTTAATAACTCAGTTATGATCATTTACACTTGGAAAAGCAAATTACTGTATGTTATATTTTATTATCCTTTCGTTCAGGTTTATTTATGTGATTGGAATATGAGAAGATCAGACAATAGATGAATTAATTAAAGATATACATTAGCAGGGGGATAAAACGTACGCTCAACTAGGACCTCGGGTCACCTGCAAATAGTTCGTCATTTTGCGTAGTAATAAAACATTACATGAACTCTTCAGGCATTAAAGGCACAGAAGTAAAGTCATCTGTATGAATATGGTGACCTCAGGTCACCCTATATTTTGATTGAATTTTATTTAAAAAAAACAGTTTTCTCTGTCTTACTCCAATACAATTATATTAATAACTTTAAATAGATCTTTCTAATAGATTAGCAGAGACGTGAAGGTAATGTTTTAAACATTAAAACATGACAAGTTGATGTCATAATTAATCGGACGTCCCCCCCCCCCCCCTTTCACAAATGTTTCACTGCTTAACTTTATCAACAATACATGTATTATTATCAGCTGTTTGAGAACCAATGTATTTGTTACTGTGTTAAAAATTGCACACAGGGAAAATGAGACTTTTTCTTCATTCGTTCAGTCATAGACCTAAAGTGTTCAATTTAGGTCTATTGTTCAGTATTATCATCAGTCATCTACGATACTTAACTCTGCTTAACTAAAAGACAACGGAAAAAAATAAAGGCAAAAAGTATGAAAATAAGCTTCTTTAAAAAGGTTAATTATTTCTTTCACTCTATCATTTCTCCTATCTTACATTTAAACACAGTACACCAGTTATTTCATCATAACACAAATAAAGGTTATTTTATATCATAATACAAATAAAGGTTACCTCTGTTCCTAGAGAAAAAGGAAAATCCGCAGACTTTAAGAACTTTAAAGAGAATGAAATTAAGTCCAAATTTAGTTTTGATACCCTGAATTTGTTTTCAAATTAACTGATTTTCAACTACAAACATATAGTGAACAATTGAAATAAAAAGGTTGAGATACCAAAAAGAGACTGATCTCAAAAATCCTATTAACAAAGGAATAGAGTATAAAACACAGATCATTCAATACCAGAGATGAGATCAGATGCATAGAAGGGATCATCCCTGGTCAAATCAAATTTATTGTCATAAGCCTGCTTTGAGCAATATCTTGCATATGGAATGATAAAATAATGTGTCATATCAATGAAAGTTAGAATTCTGGAAAAGATTTACCACCACACAAACAGTCCATCACTGAGTACACCTTTCCGTAGACAACGAGAAGAATTTTGGATAAGAAAGCTAGGGACAGCCTTTCCCTATGGATGTAATGGCAATGTCGATAGTGTTGGAAATCTTTCCAGTCCACAGTGTAACAATGTAAATGTGATGGGACTTTTTAACCATACACAGAGACGTAAGCGTAGTCATGGGCATCGGTCTTACAATAAACCTTTAATACACGATGTCTCTTTTGATTCATTACTACCTTACGTAAATCAACAGTTAGGTCTACATCATATTCGCACCAAACTTTACTCTGTCCCTTTGAAACTTTTAAATAGTCTTCTTGAAAAGGTCAAGGGAAGTCCGTTTTTTTTATTCCTCGACATCAGAATATAGGCTCGGATCTGTAGTTTTGGATATTGCCAATCATAGGCTTCTTAAACCCCCGCGTTTTACTGAAGAAAATGCAGCTAAAACAATCCGTTTTTTTCCTTAAAATTCAATATGCCAACAAAGGAATTGACGCGGTTAATATAAGTAATATTCTTAATCACAAAAGGGTCCAGTCTTGTATTCCACCATATTTCAAGTTAAAGACTGCACCTTGTATTTCCTACAAATATACCTCGACTATTGCTTCCAAACTTTTTAATTACAAGAAAACTTTACAGGGCCTGGATATCGAATATCTGAAACATAATCCTCCATCGTGTTCATGTTCTTCTTCGCCCTATAACTATAGTCCTGCTGGACACGTTATTACTGGTGACGTAAATATAGTTAATAATGAGGACCTTAGATCACTAATTTTAAAAGGTCCTAAATTTAGGGAACCCAGATCCTTCAACTGGCGTAAGAATTTCATAAATATTATGGATTCTGTAGAGGACTACGCCAGGCGATGGGCCAGACATGAAAAAGAAGACCTTGACACTTTGTCAGAATGGATTAAATGTATCAGATGTATGTTAAAATCGCGCATTAAAAGATTAAGAGGCAATATGAAACCATCTATCCTTCTGCATTCAATAATCCAGAAGTGAAAAAAGAATTAGATGGATTACATGATCAGTACGTACTGGTCCCTGCTGACAAAGCAGGTAACAACATTGTCTTTGTTTCTAAGGCTCATTATATTAAATGTATTTTAGAGGAACTTGGATTTAATTCTACAACTGGTAATCCAACTTATACTCATAGTTCCCTTTCTAAGGAAGAAATTCTTCAAAATCATATGTCAGTTTTGAATATTTTTAATATTCCAAACAACCAAAATGAATTCGAATTACCATATTTATATTGGATTCCGAAACTTCATAAAAATCCTTACAAACAAAGATACATAGCGGGTTCCAGTATATGTTCAACCAAGCCTCTATCTTTACTCCTCACTAAGATATTAACAGTGGTGAAGGAGAAACTTCAAGAGTACTGTGCAACAATATATTCGAGAAGTGGTGTAAATCAGATGTGGATACTTAAAAATTCCAAGGAACTTTTGGAACATTTGAAATCACAAGATTTTACCAAAATCAACAGCTTAAAAACTTACGACTTTTCAACTTTATACACAACCATTCCCCACGATAAATTAAAGTCCAGGCTTTTTGATATCATTGACAGCTGCTTTTTCAATAAAAATGGAACTCGTAAATATACTTACCTTGTCATTGGTCATTTGCAAAATTATTTTGTTTAAAAAACATTCTGATTGTACACACAAGTACTCTGAATTTGACATTAAAAAGATGCTTGAGTTTCTGATTGACAATATCTATGTGGTTTTTGGAGACCAGGTCTTCCAACAATCTATTGGAATTTCTATGGGTACCAATTGCGCCCCGTTATTAGGAGACCTTTTTTGTATTCATATGAAGCAGAATTTGTCCAAAATCTTGTACGTGAAAAGAAGAAAACACTTGCTGTGGCGTTCAACTCGACATTTAGATAAATCGACGACGTATTGTCAATTAATAATGGCTATTTTCATTCTTATGTCGATACGATATATCCCGGTGAGCTTGAGATAAAAGATAGCACAGAGTCTGACACCTCTGTTTCATATTTGGATATTTTACTTGAAAAAGACGTTAATGGTAATCTAACAACCAAGCTTTATGATAAACGTGATGACTTTAACTTTTCAATCGTCAAC